GGTACCGCCCACTTCAAAACTTACGCAGAGAACCGAAAGTTGGAGGATTCTGAGACAAGGTCCACCGTGCGCGAAATGGTGAAGTACGGTCGCACGCGCTCGTATTTACGAGTACCTGCTCGACAAAGGGGAAAGCCTGGTTAAGAAAGACGTGGACAACATTGTCCAGCGTGTCAAGGCCGAGTTTCGAGGCGGACTCGACGATGATGATACCTGCGCACAAGCACTTACCGAGTTTGCAGCGATGGATGGCAACGTGGCGACTGTGGACGAGACTGACGCTGGGCACTCCGGTGTCATGAGCATGACTTCGAGGCACCAGCGAGGCATGACCGTACGCTTCCCCGAGTTGTTGCTAGTGGATTGTACTCACAAGACCAACCGGTAGGTTATATCTATGTATTGTCTAGGTATTGTCCATGTATTGTCCATCTATTGATCTTTATCTCATATCAATCTGCTCGTGTGTTCTAATTACAACTACCAACTGTGTACTTTGATGGTCATTGACGATAACGGTCGTGGGCAGCCATTTCAACATTCGCTCATCGAACGAAATGCCGACTGGCACATGTCACGTGTTTTAGATCACCTGTTGCGGGTAGATGATAAGATCGGCGAAAAGGTGCAAGTTATCATGGTCGATAAAGACTTGCACGAGATTCGCGTACTGAAGAAGTACTTCCCCAAGGCGCGTGTGCTGATCTGCTTCTTTCATGTGATCAAGTACCTGCGCACAGCTTCCAGAAAGCCTGAGTATGGGCAGATCTCGCAAGATGATCATGATGCAATCGATACACTCGTGCATAATATGGTGTACTCCGTGAATGAAGACATATACACAAAGAATTGGGAGTTGATGAAGACACTGTGCGCACAGATACGATTCAATTTCTTTCTGGAATACATGGATGAAAACTGGAATGAATGTACAGACATGTGGGTCATGTACAAACGGGCTCGGCTTGCACATTTGCGCGTCCACACTAACAACCACTTGGAGAATTGGTTCGGCCATTTTAAGAATTCGGTTACCCACACAATGTCGATGACTGAAACGATCAAGGCTCTCGTGGGAGCTGACGCACGAATGTCTAGTGAGTATTTGTTCCGCAAGAATCGCGTGGGACTGCGAGTAAACCGAAACTACGATGAAGAGCTGTGTCAAGTGCTGCGGTTTACGACTCACTTTGTCGCAGAGCACGTTCAGAAGGAGTATTTGATGGCCATGTTCAAGGCCGAAGTTTTCGTCTACGATACGGTCTCCAAGCCTGGCTTCGTGGTGGTATCTGGAAAACACAAGGAGCATTATGTGGACTTGTCAAACTGGAGCTGTTCGTGTTCCTTCGCGTGTGCTATGCGTTTACCCTGTCAGCATGCTATCGCCTACCGAAAGTGGAAAAAGGTGTCCGGAAGTGTCATTCCATTGAGTCGGATCCATGAGCGGTGAGTAGCTGAGCCTATGGCGATGTCCATGTATTATCCATGCATCGTACATGTTTCGTCCAGTAATTAACATGTCGTGCTGGCATTCCCTTCGATACGAATGTGTACAGGTGGTTACATCCTGCAGAGCTAGAGCAGATGCCTAGACCTATAGCTGTAAATGAATTCAAGCCTGGCCAAACAAAGCGGAAGGCACTCGATGCAGCGACCAAGTACAGACAGGCGCTCAGTGCTACACAAGCAATATGCAACGAACTGGCAGATATAGAGGACGAGGACGAGTACAAAGAGCATCTTGATTTTCTTCTCAAACAGTGGGCGAACATTAGACAGCGGAAGCGTATCAAAATCACAAACTCGAATCCTTTCGTGGAGACTGATGGCGATGACCAAGACACGAAATCACCAACAGAACCGTCGATCAGGTTGAGCCCGAAGGCTGCAAAGACCGGAAGACCTCGTTTAAATACGAAAGAGCGCGAGGCCGAAGACAAGAAGAAACGGGCACTGTTTAACGAGTCTGAGGAGCATCGCCGAAAAATGGGGGAAGCTACTCTAGTACAGCTTGCTCAAGATTTACAAAAGGAGAAACCGACACTCCAGGAAACGCTAGACCGCGTAAGCCCAATTCCTACCAAGTGGGATAGAGCGAGTAACAAGAAACCGAAGTATGTTCGACAGAGCGCCCCTGTGCTGAACGACAACGCGTTCTATCTTCTCCCGAAGAAGCTGCTGGACAAGTGCCTCTTCGTTCTTCCAGTGAAGAACACAAGAGAGACTGCAATCGAGATCTTCACCCAGAGCCAGCCTTCGCAAGCTGAAAGTGATGACACGCAATTACCTGGACAAGACCTGGAGATTCATGGACAAAACCTGGAGATAGAATGTGTTCAAATTTCAGGT